CTTCCTCAGAACCGTTCTGAGGAAGGGTCACCGGACCCGAAACGTTAGCTCTGTTTTCTCCTTCACAGATGCTGCCAGACCTGCTGAGCTTTTCCAGCAACTTTGCTTCTGTTCCTGATTTACAGTATCCGCAGTTCTTTTGGTTTTTATTAAGCACCTAATTATTCTGATCCACTTTATTGGCACTCGCCCCATAGTTCTGACATTGCAAGTGCTTGTTTGTCTTTGCTGATTGAAAAAGGCATGCTTTTTCCAATGTCGAAAGCTTCGAGAGACTTCCATCGCTCTACCCGCACCCGACAAGTCTCTGCTGGAACTGGCCATTATTGAATGCTCGTATGAAAGTGAATGGCCGACATCTTGCAGTGCATTTTGCATCATTTGCTGGGCGGCAGAAACATTGGCAAGCAAGGAGGATTTTAACACTGTACCTTCACCATGGGAATTTTGAAAATGCGAAAGTTTTCGATTACTTGACCCCTCCCCCTCACTCCTCCTACATACACACAGACACAACATGCCTGGAATAAATTCCACCACTTCTTGCATGCCCCAACTTAAGGCAAGTGCACGAACAGCAACATCTTCAGTGTACAAATGATTAAGAAATAGGCATTGAAGATCAAGGGATCCAGGTATGAGGATTGGTGATAATTTTGCAGTAAGAGAGATTCATGGCTGTTAAGACAGAAAAAAAATAGCAAGACCTGTATTGGTAAGAGCTCTTTTCCTTTAAACTGGGTGAACTCTTTTTAAAAAAAAATTGAACAACAGAAGAAAAACTAACTGTCCTAGCCACGACTGTTATTTTGGAGATGATACAGGGTATTTTGCATGGTAAAAATAGCTTTAATATTTCAAATCACAAGGCTGCATAGACTGCTTGAAGCTGTGGGACACAGTACATGCTGCAGTCGAGTGTGGCCTGAAACAAGTCTAAAAGGGCTGTGTGTTATTCTGAAAACAAATTTGACCATTTTATTATGTCGGAATCAATATGGTGAAGCAATAAGGAAGACTACCGAAGGCATGTATATTTTCGACGTCTTTTAAAACACGTTAAATATTGTGGAAATTAATCAGCGTCACGCCTTTCTGCTGAGTCTCTGCAGAATTAGCCAGCATTCTGAGCAGCTTATAAATGCAGTGAAAGATGAAAGGCAAACGTGTATTTTTGCTAATGCTTCATGCTCGTGTTTGAAAAGGTCAGGAATGTGCACAAAAGGCTTTGTAAATCATTTTCTTTCTGCATCAACAGTGCCACTGCATTGTATGTAAAACCCACTGTATGACAAATGAATTGTTCAAACTGGGAGGAGCTCCCGTGTGATGAAACCATTGATTTATCTGTTTTTATTAAATGACACAATCATTTCAGTTGGGGTCCTCTGTAACGCACCCAATTTCAGCCTTGTGAAAATATTTTTCCTTAGGATCGAGAACGACTTCTTCGTCGCAGGAGGCATAAACGAAATACAAAGCATATAAAGGTAATTAATGCTGGCTGGCACAGTCATAAGTATGATTTTTCTGTTTCAAAGAGCCATTTCAAATACCTGAAACTTGTTGTACCAGTTTGTTAAAGGGACAGTGTAATTCTCACCCAGAGAACGTACAGCACATTACTGAGGCAACAACCTCAACTGGTGTGTAGCTCTAGTGGCACCATTTGTACCCCTGGGCCATTTTCTTAACAGTGGTGGATGGCCAATTAAGGGAAATGAAAAAGCAGTTAGGGCCTATGGTCAGATAGGCCTCCCCTACTCCGATGCAATTAGCGACTAAGCCTACTAACCAAAAGATGGTTGATAGTGGGAAGGGCAAAACCCCTTCCACCTTACCCCTTTCCACCCTGAATGGCTGCTCAATTGTTTTTTTGAATCATTTAAAATTATATAAAGTTGCCAGGAGGATGTCTGTAGATTGAGGCACTCCCCCTCCCTCATTGACTTAAACCACACAGTGCAGCTCCTTCCATGCTGGAGAGTTTCCCATTCCTCCTCCCACTGTGAAAGTCAAGAGGTTGTGTTCCCCACTTGGGCTTGACAAACCAGGTCCTCATTTAAAACTGAAAATCTTGCCCCAGATCTTTATCAATACAGTAAGTTGAGAAGGACAATTCGTATATGGAATCTCCATAAATCCATAAGAAGTAAGCACAGGATGATGCTGTTTGGCATCTTGAGACTGCTCCTCCATTCTACAGGAGTATGACTGATTGGACGTTTCTCATGTCCACTTTGGTGCCCTTCCCCTGTAATCCTTGATTCCCCGACTGATCAATAATCTATCTCAGCCTTAAATATACACCAGGACTCTGCCATCACAACTCTCTGTGGTTAGGAGTTCCACAGATACTCAACTCTCTGACAGAAGAAATTCCTCCTCATTTCAGTCTTAAATTGGCGCCCTTTTATTCTGACACTATGCCCTCTGGTCCTATACTCTCCCCTTGAGGGGTAACATCTTCTCAGTATTTGCCCTGTCAAGCCCCTTAAAATGCCTGTATGTTTCAATGAGATCACCTCTCATTCTTCTAAACTCCTGAGAGTAGGGTCCCAACATGTTTCTCTTTGCTCATAAGACAATCCTTCCATAGCAGGGATCATCCCAGTTAAGATTCACCGAGCTGCCTCCAATGAAATGATATCTTTCCCTAAATAAGGCACCAAACATGCTCAGAATATTCCGATGTGGTCTCACCAGCATCTTGTACAGCTGCATTAAGACTTCCCTACTCCCTTAAAATCCAACCCCTTGAAATAAGGGCCAACATTCCATTAGCCTCAGAGATAGTAGGAACTGCAGATGCTGGAGAATCTGAGACAACAAGGTACAGGGCTGGATGAACACAGCAGGCCAAGCAGCATCATAGGAGCGGAAAGGCTGACGTTTTGGGCCTAGACCCAGGTTTCCTGCTGTGCCTGTATGATAGCTTTATTTGGCTACATGCCTAGCACGCGCGCCACCCTTTTCAAGTCCCTCTGTGCTGCAGCTTTCTGCAGTTTTTCTCCATTTAAATAATATTCAGTTCTTCTGTGCTCCCTTCCAAAATGAATAACTTCACATTTTCCCACATTTTAGTCCATTTGCCAACTTCTTGCAAACTCATTTAATCTATCAATATCCATCTGTAAACTGTTTGCATCCCTCCCACAACCTGTCTTTCCACCTATTTGTGTGTTGTCTGCAAGTCTGGGTGCAGTACATTCACTTCCTCCAAGTCATATAATGTAAACAGTTGTGGTCCCAGCACTGATCACTGTGGAACCCCACTGGTTAAAGGTTGCCAAACTGAAAAAGAATCCCTTATGCCCACTCGCTGTTTCTTGTTTATTAGCTGGTCCTCTATGAATACCAATGTGCCACCTCCAACGCTGTGGGCTCTTGTCTTATGGTTTAACCTTTCTGAGGTATCTTGTTGAATATCTTCTGGAAGTCCAAAAACAACATATCTACTGGTTCCCTCTATATTTTCTGGTTAAGACATCCTTGAAAAAATCTCTAATAAAGTTACAATTTCCCTCTCCTGAAGCCATACTGACTCTGCTTGATTAGATTATGATTGTCCATCTCATCTAATAGGAGCAGATATAGGGATATCCAGCTGAGGTAGCCCAAGAAAACTGTGCGCTTACACACAATGCTGTATTCTTACAGCACAACCCCGTACCTGAGAACCTGCTCAATTGTCAAATTTCCTTTAAATTTAAAATGAACGAAAGGTGAGAGCAAGAACAAGAGCAAGAACAAACCTCTCTTCAGTTGGTTTGTTGAAGCTTAATGAGTTGAATACTTTTAAGCAGAGGCAAAAGGAAATCTGAAACATTTCATTTCTGCACACCTTGTCTCACATTTGAAAGAGGCACGGATTTCCATGTTTTGATTCACAAAGTCCCAAGTAAAATTTTGCATTCAGGTCATCAAAGTGTAACTGAAATATAGATGTTTCAAAACCACTATTTGGAGGGAAAACGTAAATAGAAACAATTTTGTAATATTAATTTTAAGAATTAGTGCTTGTTGTATAAATAATATTGGCACGTTTACTTACTACTGCACTCCAGCTGGTGCACCTCAATAGCAATATATTATTCTACAGCACATGGTAAAACCTGAGAACTATGTTCAAAGTTAGCCACTCTATCTGTATAACATGTGATTATTTTGAACTTCTGGGAGCCAAGACATTACTATATAGGTGATTCTGAGGGAGTATTTTATTTTTTGCATTTGTAACTCTTCTGGGGCATGGGTGAAAGTTGGAGTCCTCGTTATTAGAGAATAACTATTTTCTTTCTCTTCCTGCGCTCTCAGAGACATGTGGTAGAGACATGTTTTGGATTTGATGAAGAATCGATGGATTCAGAAACATCGTCCTTGGCTTCCTACAGAACAGACAGGACGCCAGCAACGCCAGAGGATGATTTGAATGAAGTGAGTAAATGACATATCAACAGAAGTTATTGGTGCTAAGGGCGTTTAGCACGCTTGCCTTCATTGCTCAGTCCTTTGAGTATAAGCGTTGGGAAGTCATGTTGAAGTTGTACAGGACATTGGTGAGGCCTCTTCTGGAATAGCGTGTCCAGTTCCAGTCGCCCAGTTACAGGAAGGATATTATCAAGCTGGAGAGGATTCAGAAGAGATTTACCAGGATGTTGCTGGGTATGGAAGGTTTGAGTTATAAAAGGCTGGATAAGCTGGGACTTTTTTCACTGGAACATAGGACGTTGACAGGTGACCTTATAGAAGATTATAAAATCATCAGACATATAGATATGGTTAATGGCAGGTATCTTTTCCCTAAGATGGAGGATTTCAAGACTAGTGGGCATATTTTTAAGGTGAGTGGAGAGAGATTAAAAAAAAACAATTTTTTTGCACAGAGAGTGGTTCGTGTGTGGAATGAACCTCCTGAGGAAATGGTGGATGTGGATGCAAGTATAATGTTTAAAGGACATTTGAATAAGTACATGAATAGGAAAGATTTGGAGGGATATGGGTGAGGGGCAGTCAGGTGAGATTAGTTTTGTTTGCAATTATGGTCAGCATGGACTGGTTGGACCCGGAGGATCTGTTTCCGTGCTGTATAACTCTATGACCCTGTGATTAAAGAAATGCTGAAATGTACAGTAGCCATACATGGAAGCATATAGATAAAGGGAAGGTTGCTACAGTCCCAGAGGAGTTTCCTGAAGTGTGAAAATTGTGTCATTTGATGGTGCAAACATGAATGCTATAAGCTGAGCTGTTGTTGATTATTTTTAATGAGCAAATCAATTATATTTGTAAAGCACATATACACATTGATGCTTGTGTAAAATCTGAGTATTGGGAAGCACCACGCACAGTGTCCATTCACTTTCTAGAACTTTGATCATTCTGATGAACTGAGAGAGTCCTCTCTCTGATCCTTGTGAGAAATCTACGCAAAGTGAATTTGTTACATTTTAAGCAGTTTCCAAAGAAACACAAGCTGATGATTTCAGAAGGGCAAAATGGTCAACGTGGGAATGTCTCACCAATGCTGTGGGAATGTTCTGTTGGGTATTGTTTTTTTTTTTGGGTAATATGTAAAAAAAGTTGTTGGATCTAAAAGGGCAAATGTTACACCTCATTTTGTGCTTATTATACCTGCCTGGAATAAATGAACAGTAAAATATTGATCCTTTTAATGTCAACAATAGACTTTATTCATTAAAAACTTTCTTTGTGTATATATAGTATATATGTAGTCACAAATGCAATTTGGTTCTGTACAGTAGCATATCAAGGAAACAAACAAACATTGGAGTTTGACTCTATCCAAACAAACCAAAGACATCTGTTGCACATATAAGACAATATTTACATGCATTTGAGGCACTAGTGCATCTGATAACTGAATGGACCCTCATTTAACTTCAACAGAAAGACCTCAGACGGTGGTCTTTTCCCACTGCACCTTGCCGACAGCTGCTCCAAGCTTTAGTGCATCCCTCAGCACGTAGTAACATGTAGACTTTGCATCCAACTTATACTCTGAATAGGTTGGGAGTGCTTGAAGGAGACACAGAAAATTGCATCCTTGAGCACTGGATACCTTGTTTTGATTTGACTGGATTTAATTTATTGGAGTCACATGTACTTAAGTACAGTGAAAAGTTTTGTTTTGCAAACAATACAGACAGATCAAAGCAAGTAAGGACATACAGATCATAGGGTGCTTGGACAGAGCGAGGCATACAAGGAGGTGCACAAAGCAAGATCAATGTTAGCGAGATCAACATTATTTGACATTAGAGCGGTTATCTTATTTCAATGCAGATAAACACTTATATAAAAGAAGTAAAACTTGCAGTATTTAAATCGGTACTTTTAATAACCAAATGTTACAAATATTGATGGCTGAATGGTGTTTATAAGCAAGGTCGTCTAGCTGAAAAGCAATCAAAAGCAATAGAAAATGTGAAGTCATTAAAGCAAAGATGATTTACATTTCCAATGGCTACACTTGGGTAGAATTCTGTCATTTCTCCCATTGTGTGCGAGTAACATCTACTTTGAACATGCTTTATCAGGTTTGGATCAGACTACCACAGGAAGTTTGTGAGGATGTATGAGCTTTGACAATCCTGAACACTCTCCCTGCTATTTTTTCTAAATTTACCTGACTCTATAATAGTCATACAAGTTTGCTTGTAAGAAATAGGAACTATAACATTATTGATAAAAGTGTAGTATTTGACCGATACATGTTGATTTCATGAAGATTATTAACCTTGCAGTTGAATGAATGAATGACTTACTGACACATCTGTCTCGTGCCACATCCAATGCCAGTTAGAGGTACAAAAGAATTTTTAAAAAAGTACACAAATATGAGTTCACCTTCATCAGCTGGGGTCCCAGACACGGCTGCAGGACTTCCGAAAGGCCCCCACCCTGAGCCTACCACAGCCAGGTGCCCCCTTTCCGGGCACCGAACACCACTGCACTCGACAACATGGCACTGCCGAAAGAGTCCATGCTCCGGGTCTACTCCAGCCAGGAGTCCCCGCTCCACCATCACTGCAGCTGACACCCTCCTGCCCTTCCAGAAGTCCACACATCAGCCCCACAAAGCCAGGAGTCATTGCCAACACACATCTGGCCAACTCGACACCAGTGAAGAAAAAGTTAATGCATCACTGTCAGTAAGAGATTGGCCGATGTGCAGTCCTGAAGCAAAGAGCTTCAAATTGAATCAAAACTTCTCAGTGCAGATCACAGGATCCACTCTGAAGTGAGTTCCATGTTCTGACCCCCTTTACAGTTCAGATGACTCTTGCGGTTCACAATCCCACCTGAATCTTTGAAGTCTTAAATCACATGGGACACTACCAGTTTGATCCTAATAACATAGGATCTATTTATTGTAAATCAAACAGTTAACCATCTCCATATTACACTGGATAGTGTTCGCAGGGTGAGTTTTTTTTTTAAAAAGTCAAAATTAATCAGCTTCATCTGTGTTCAGAGTTTTATACACAAGAACCCAAACTTGAAGCCCAACTGAATAACAATATCAAGACATTCTTATTGCTCAAACTGTCTCAGTCTCTGAATAGTTTGATCAGATAACTACACCAGAATCCCCCTGTTAGTCATGCAGTGTGTCTGTGTAATACTAGCTATTCATGCATTTCCACACGATGTGTACACCTCTGCCTGTGAATTCAAACTCCTGGTTCAAATTTGAGAGAGGAACCTGAACCCAATTTTAGCCTTTGCAGTAACTCTGAGTATCTGGCTGCTTATAGGTTATACAGCAGGTTTGTTGATGGCATGGAGAGCCACTATTTTGGTCTATGTAAAAATACTAATGGATCACCATCTCAAACCTGCTGGTAGTCTTTTCAATCACAAGGCTCACATTAGATGGCTGCGTATATAAAACATATGTGAATTAATGGCTAGAGTAGAGTTGTTACTGAACAAGTAATTGAGAGCCCTATGGAAATGATGTACGGAATATCCACTGTGGTAGGCTGAGAATGCATTTTCAGTTTTGAAAGGTTGGGAAATAAAAAGCTGGTGTTTTCTCTTGTGTCAGAGTGTAACTTAGGTCCATTTATCTACCCTATTTTTCCATTGATCCAAAGGTTCAGGCTTCACAGAACATTGGTGGGAAATCAAATCCTGACATTTTACACTTGGTTTCAGCATTGCTTTGCCAGAGTAAGTCTCATTATAGTCTTCTGCCTGGAAAAAAAAACTCAGTTTCTCAAGTAAACCTTTTAGACAACCATTCTCTTACCGAAACGTTAGCAATCCTGCTCCTCTGAAGTTGCTTGGCCTGCTGTGTTCATCCAGCTCTACACCTTGTTATCTCACATTCTCGGCTACCGTTGTTATTGGATTGTAACCAGGATATTCAACAATAAACTCTCTGCATGAAAGATAGACTATGAACTCGTCCAGTTGCCTTATTTCAGCTCTTCCTGTTTTATATACGTAGGCATTTTTATTAAATCAGTATGTCCAGAGATGTTATGACACACTTCTGGGGCAGATACCTTGGCATTACAAGGGCTCTTTAGTTCTAGACAGTTTTATATATTGTAATTAACCTTTTCGGGGATGTTATGACATACCTCTAGATCACGAGGCTCTTGAATCTCCTCGCTCAGAGGTAGAGTCACTACCATTGTACCACAAATGCCCTTGATATTTAGATTTTTCTCAAATCAACCTGCTCACTCATGTTATTACATACACCACTAAAGCAGGTGAGACTTGAACCTGAGACTCCTGGCACACAGGTAGGGATATTATTTGAAATTTCGACACTTTTGTTTACTTATCACTTTATTTTCTGGCGGTTGCCTCACAGACATAAAGCTATCATCAATACACTTCTGCCTTTTAGTCACCCATCCTTTCTGTGGTTTCTTTACATTGCTGTCCTTGTTGTTTTTCTTTCCTCTCCTTTCTTTAGGTGCTGTAACGGCTCCTCAGTCTCATCTTAGGGTGCATGCTACTCTGCAGACCTTTGTTCTGATCTTGATTTTTTTTTGTTTCGGTTTAAATCTCCAACTGTTGATGATTGTTAAAATGGAATGTACACATGCACATCATTTCTCCAAGCCCTGTGCCTGTAAGCAGGAGGCCTGATATCCAAGCCTGTTAAAAAAACGTTTTAAATTTCTTTTTATATCCAGAAGTGCTCTTACACAGAACTGAACCTTTTCTTTCCATTAACAAATCACCCGTGGTATTTTTTATCCATCACCGATAAATCACTGAGTTCTCCAATTGATTAATGTATGTGCAAAGCGCACTGAGACTTATTTTTTCAAACATAAGCATTGTTTGTTTAAATCAAATCTCTCCAAGAACAAGTTTTTGGGAATATATTTGCAACACCAGCACATTTTCCCTTTAAATATCAGTGAAAATATCAAGGCCATTTATTT